TGGGAACCCTGTTGGCTAGGCGCTTGTGTCTTTTTTTTTTTTTTTTTTTTTTTTTTTTTTTTTTTTTTTTTTTTTTTTGTCTTTTTGTCTTTTTTTAAAGACTATGTTTTTAAACACGTTTAGGTTCACAGCCAAATTGAAGGGAAGGTACAGAGATTTCCCATACTCCTAGCCCCCACATATGCAAGGCATCTCCCATTATCAACATTCCCCATCAGAGTGTCTTTTTGTTATAATTAATGTGGCTTCATTGCTAGTGTTCATTTAATATGTTATGATCCCTTTTTGTATACTTATTTTTTGGAACCACAGATCTTCCAAAGTTATTTTTAATTTCCTTGCCCCAAACCTTAAGTTAAACTCTTCTCCGAGGATCTCTCTGATTCCTCTTATTGAAGAATGCTATTTAGAAAGCAAAATCCAGGCTAAGTGTGCTTATTGTTACTGGGGTGTCATTGTCCCTGGACTTACTCAGCAGACAGAGGTAGGAAATGTATGTTTATTAGCCTATGTGCGCGTGCGCGTGCGCACACACACACACACACACACACACACTTCTTTATTTCTGTGTCTACCTATATATCTATATTTTAAAATATGTTTGTACTGAAATATGGACACCACAGGGTTCATTTTAGTCTTTCCTCTTTCTTTATTTGTAACTTCTTTCTCTGATGGGGTAAACCTAGTTCTCATTATCTACAATATATTCACTTCTTTGATTTTTTTTCTAGCAGTTATACAATTGCTAACCCACACTCCTGTGAGAAACAGATTTGCTAACTAAAGTTTTTGAGTCTTTAGTATTGTAGTATCCAGCCAAAACACTGATTTGCTTTACTTATGTTTGTTCTTTTCATCCTCATCCCCTTCAGTGTAGTTATGTTAGGTTTCATTTGTAACTGTTTGGGTTCCATTTTGCCTATCTCTGCACCCCCTGCCCTTATCCTTGGTTGATTTTGTTTATTGCTATGGTTCTAAGAGCCAAAACTATACAAAATGGTATATTCAGAGAAGCGTCTGTCCCTCCTGATACCTATGCTGTTCCCATTCTCCTTTCTGCCTCTTTTCCACTTACTCACCTATAAGAAATCAATCTCTTTAGTTTCTGGTCTATCCTCTGCATTTCTTTTGCAGAAAGGAGGAGATACATGTGATTTTCTTCCATCAACTTCTCTCTTACACTTATATTGTTTTAAAATTTTTAACTAATTTGATATTATTCCATTTCATTATGGTTTTAATTTGTATTTTTCTTATCACTAATGAAGTTGAATATCTTTTCATATTTTGAATAGCCTCTGCATTTTTTCTTTTAGGAAGTATTTATTAAATATTTTTGCTCATTTTCTCTTGGGTGTGTAGGAGTAATGTATGTATTCTGAATACAAATTCTTCATTAGTAATACTTGTTATGGATTTAGGAGTCTTGTCATTTTATTTGTAATGTTTTTGATGAAGAGAAGTTCTTAAGTTTAATTTGTCTATCCTCTGGGGTTTGTGCGTAAGAAGTCCTCTATGAGTTCATACAGTTTTCTCTATGTTGTCATTTAAAAGTTTCAGAGTTCAAGGGCACCTGGGTGGCTTAGTCAGTTAAGCGTCTGACTTCAGCTCAGGTCACGATCTCGCAGTTGTGAGTTTGATCCCCCCCATCAGGCTCTGTGCTGACAGCTCAGAGCCTGGAGCCTGCTTCAGATTCTGTGTCTCCTCTCTCTGCCTCTCCACCTCTCACATTCTGTCTCTCTCTAAAATAAACATTAAAAAAATTTTTTTTAAGTTTTAGAATTGTCTTTTACATTTAAGTTTTTAATCCACTTGACCTTTTTTTTTTTTTTTTTTTTTTTTTTTTTTTTTTTTGCATATTAGGTAAGGTAAGATTCAATATAATTTCTTGGTTCTTCACCAATTATTAAAGATCCCATGCTTTTACCACTGATCTGCAATGCAAGTTTTATTATGAAGCAAGTTTCCATATGTATGGGGGTCTCTTTCTGGGGTCTATCCCTGTGCCAAAACTACTTTGTCTTATTAATACAGCTCTATAATTCTTAGTCTCTGGGAAGCGAAATCTCTCCCACCTTTTCTACTTTAGGACTGTCTTGATTCTGCCATTTACATTTTTAAAATAATTTTTCAAGGTGAAAAAAACTGTTAGAATTTTTATTGGAATTACTTTGTATCTCTAGATAAATTTGAGAATTTATTTGTAACTATATTTTATGATATAGCTCTATTTAGGTCTTCTTTAATGTCATTAATAGTTCATCACTTTCTTCATAAAGATCTTATATACCTTTTATAAGACCTATTTCTAGATACTTAATATTTTTTATGTTATTGTAAATGTTTTTAAAAATATATATATTTCTTAACTGTTTGCAGCTAGTGTATAGAAATGCAACTAATTTTTATGAAGTGATTCTGACTCCATCACTTTAATCAAATTCTTATTAATTTATTTATCTGTGGATTATTTTGTGTTTTCTACACAGACATATTATTAGTAAATAATGATAGTTTTGTTTCTTATTTTATAGTTACAAGTGAAAAATATCAGAATATACAATCACAAAATTCTAGGTAGCACAGTATGCATAGGAAAAGACACAGGAAGGAATGCAAAGAAATGTTCACAGCTTATTTTGAGTTAAAGAATTATGGATAAATTTTTCTTTTTAATATATCTCTATACTTTCCAGTTTTTCCAAGATGACTATCTATCACTTTCATAACCAGGAAAGAAACAAAACTTAAAAATAAAAGCAAGTCTAAAACAAACTTTAAAGGTAAGGATTCCTTACTAAAAATGCCCAGTTAGAAATTAAAAACTCAAGTACCTCTGATGTGCCTGCTCCCCACCAAGATTCACCACTGCAGAGCCAGATGGTTGTATAGTTATGAACTAATACATGTGTTATATCTAAGAGAATCTCTTAGATTCATGGAACTTTGTCTTTACATTAGGGTATGTATGAAATTGACCTGTCAAAGGTCTTTATTCATTTGTTTTGAAGTATAGTCAATTCTTAATTATCCATAAGGAATATTTTTATTCTTTATGAATTATTTATGACCTTTTCATATTGAGTTACTATTAACTTGCACTGCTTATTTCCTAGGGATAAACTTAGGAAATGCAGACTAATTTTCAACTGGCACTCCTCTCCCTATTATACAGATAAGATAACAGAAACCCCCCAGAAATTAAGTAGGTTTTCTCTCTATTTTTCTGTTCACCTCCTCCATCCCATGGTACTTGTCTCCCATCATGACACCTGTCAAAATTATCTGTCCTCTCCATCATAAACTCCATAAGGTTAAGATCTTTGTCTTGTTCTTCTGTGTATCCCTACACCTAGCACAATACCTGATATAGTTCCTGATACATAGTGGATTCTCAATAAATCACTATGGAATGTTGAATGAATTTTGCAAGCAATCCACTTTCAAAAAAAAATCAGAATACTCACCACATTAAATATTTGACTGATTGCTTTTGGATATAGTTCACAATAACATTTGGCTTCATGTGGGTGGAAATTGAAATCAATGTCTGGGTAAAGACTTCTCATGAAAAGTATTTAAAAACAAAATGAACTTTCTGCTCACCTCATCTTGTGTGATGAATTTTTCATATGGTAAAACATTTTTCCTATTTTCTCTTATACCATTTAGAGCTATTACTATTACAGCATCTAGATGCTAATTGTATGTAATTGTTAATTGAGCTGATTCTATCTGAAAAGAAAAGCTAGATAAACAAAAGTAAGTCCTCATAATTTATAAAAGTCTTTTAATTTAACTTGTTTCTTCTTTTTAATTTTGATTTTTTTTTTTCACATAGTTGTGGCTGGTGGGTGTGGCTGACATTGGATGCTAAATATATATTCTCTAGCTCTTGGAGCCCAGGCTGGTCCTCAAGGGCCCTGTGGCTTATCTAACCCCTAAATCAGTCTTCTGGTTCCTTCTCCTTGTTGGAGGACCGACCATGGGCTTGGGTCAGAAGGCTCTCTCATCTCAGGGGGCTTAAGCCCTCCCACCATGCAGCTAAGTGTCTGGAGGTGGGGGTTGCCTTTGGTTTGGGGGGCTTTCTCCCAGATTTATTGAGAAATAATTGCCATATAACATTGTGTAAGTTTAAGGTATACAGTGCACACCTTGATAATTTGATACCTGTATATATTGTGAAATGTGTATCACAATCAGGTTAGTTAACACATCCTTCACCTCACATAATTTTCATTTTCATTTTCATTTTCAAAGAGGATTGGTTGTTTTAATTGATTATCCCAATAACACCTTCATGTGCCTCAAACTATTTAGATGTTTGAATGTGGAAGTAATTATATTATAGACAGATAGAATGATACAGTACTGAAGTTTCTATTTCTAACATTTTGAGAATATAGTAATTTTGGGTAATTCAGTTCATTTTATAAATTTGTTATGTAATCCAACATTCCTGGAAGACTGCCCATACTCAGATACTGTGCAAAACTGTCACTATATAAAATGAGTAAAATACTACCTAAAAGAGCCCACAGTGTAGTTGTGGTATATTTGGACATCTTATGTTATTATCCTTTTTTAATATTATGTTTTGTTGCTAAGTTTGGGATAAAGAAGGTTATGCGAATATATTAATTTGGCTAAGAGCTGTAGCTCTAAGTGACCTATAGTAGCTATTAGCAGCAGCACTTCACTATAAATAGGATTTAATTAGACACCTCATACATTCGACTGCTTCTACTTAATGTATCAGATCATTGCATGTTGTCCTTTGTGTGACATGTAGGAGTGGGCTAAGGTGTTCTAAAGAAGAGAGAATCTGATATTTCCTCATCAAAATTGTGGTGGGGAGTATGCAAAATGAAAAAATATCTGCTCTGTAAATTTCTATGTACAGCCACTACCCAGTATATCAGTTGACATTGAACTTTAGTTTATCTCATTTATATATATGTATGTGAAAAGGTAAACTCTTTTTTTCTTCTTGGCAGGTGTCCTTGTAGACTTGGGTCTGGAGGAAAATGGGACAGCTTATCAAAGAGCAGAGAAATATGTTGTTCGTCTAGACAATGAGATTCAAACCAAGTTTGAAGTTTTTATGAGAAGGGTAAAACAGAACCCGTACACACTGTTTGTGCTAGTTCATGACAACTCCCATGTGGAACTAACGAGGTGATTGCTTCAGAGTGAGCAAATATAGTGTTTCTTCTAGCACAGCAATGGTTTTGTCAAAAATTCCTGGAAAGCCCAGAGACCCTAACACTTGGCATCTTCTTATTGGTAACTTATTCCTACTCTTTCCCTGCTCTTTCAACTTTCCCTACCAATTTAGTGTTGACTTCATTTTAACTATACTATGAGTGAATTTATAAATCCCCATTAAGGGGCACCTGGGTAGCTCAGTCAATTGAGCAACTGACTTCAGCTCAGGTCATGATCTCACTGTTTGTGAGTTCAAGCCCCACATCAGACTCTATGCTGACAGCTCAGAGCCCACTTTGGATTCTCTGTGCCCCTCCCCCACTTGTTCTCTCTCTGTCTCTCTCTTTCTCTCTCTCTCTCTCTCAAAAGTAAATAAACATTTTAAAAATCCCTGTTAAAAAGCTGTCTTCAGGGCATTGTGGAACTCAGCGGTCTCAGAGAAAGGGCAGCAGCAGGGAGAGTGAAGTTAATGAGCTCCAAGAAGAGCCATATGCTTTCCTTTCCCTGTCCTTCCTCCTCCCCAGTTCTTTACCATTTTTCCTCCTTCCTCTTCTCTTTGTTTCTCCTCTTCCATGCCTTTCTCTCTATCCACATAACTTTAAGCAGTAAAGATGCCACTTAAAGATTTCAGAACAGGGTGCCTGGCTGGCTCAGTCAGAGGAGCATATGACTCTTGATCTTAGGGTTGTGAGTTTGAGCCCCACGTTGGGTGTGGAGACTACTAAAAAAATAAATAAATAAATAAATAAGCTTAAAAAAATAATTTAGAAATCTGAGCATATCTGAAACATTCCCCAATTTACCGGTTTAAACAGAGAATATCCTATTTCTTTTTTTTCAATTTTTTTTAACGTTTATTTATTTTTGAGACAGAGAGAGACAGAGCATGAATGGGGGAGGGTCAGAGAGAGAGGGAGACACAGAATCTGAAACAGGCTCCAGGCTCTGAGCCGTCAGCTCAGAGCCTGATGCGGGGCTTGAACTCACGGACCGCGAGATCATGACCTGAGCTGAAGTCAGACGCTTAACCGACTGAGCCACCCAGGCGCCCCGAGAATATCCTATTTCTTAGGTGGGCTTACAGTGAAAGAAGAGTAAATGGGGCATGATGGTGCCAGTTTGGCCCCCTGACCAAATTACAGTAATTATCTGTTAAGGGATGTCTTTGATCCTATGGGTTTAAAAGGCAATTTCAAGCATCATCAAGTGTTTATAGATTTTCCTTTCTTCAGAACACACTGAGGTTGAGAATATGAAAGATTTGTAGTATGTTGTAGAAATATCAGAATTGCAAAAGCACTTGTTCAAAAGCCAGAATGTATTTGGCACTCCACAATCTGAACTCTAGAGCCATATGTAGGTATAAATAAGATGTTAGTTTTAGAGGAAAGAAAGAAAGAAAGAAAGAAAGAAAGAAAGAAAGAAAGAAAGAAAGAAAGAAAGAAAGAAAGAAAGAAAGAAAGAAAGAAAGAAAGAAAGAAAGAAAGAAAGAAAGAAAGAAAGAAAGAGAAAAAAGAGGGAAGAAAGAAGCAGAGAGAGGGAGGGAGGGAAGGAGAGAAGGAAAGAAGGGAGCAGGAAGGAAAGAAAGAAGGAGGGAGGGAGAGAGAGAGAAGGAAGAAAGGAAGGAAGGAGAGAGGGAAGGAAGGAAGGAGAGGGGGAGAGAGAGAGGAGAGAAGGAAGGAAGGAAGGAAGGAAGGAAGGAAGGAAGGAAAGAAAGAAGGAAGGACTTTGCCCAGATTCTCTTCGGTTGTTCCTAGTGTTCTTTGAGCAGAAATAACTCAGTGACCTGATATACCTCATGTTTGAAAGTTTGGAGTAATAGCTGTGAGGATGTGTATTGGATCTCTCTATATTTAATTCCCTAGGGCACTGAGATTATTTCTTTGACAAAAAAAAAATATGTGGTTTTGAGGCTGCATAACAGCCTGGTACATTCAAATTGAACATAATTGAAAATGATTTAGATGTAAAAATTTTGTTCATACTGAGGGGTAGGAGGACCCTTTGTAACCTCCTCATAGTCTAACATCCTCAAGGGAGGAAGAATAGTAGCATTAACACAGAGGGGATCCCTTGCCTCTCTGGGGTACCGATTGCACACTTACAAGCATCATGTTTTGATGGAGAAACTCATTTAGATGAGCTTTCAGACCAAAGTGATCCATCTCAGCTACAGATTTAGATATCCTTGGCCTGTAGAACTGAGTTACACTTGGAGGTATTTCAGGGGCAGACTGAAAAGGGGGGGAAAATATCTTTGAAATCTGTCTGAAAGTGGTAAGAAGGAGTGTAATTATTTCTCTTTCAAATTAAATGTTGGTTGCCTCTACTCCTTCTCCCAGTTAAAAAGAACTAGAAAAATAAAAACTAAAACATTATCTCCATTTTGATGACTGTTTCTGAATCTAATCTGTTAAATTATTAATGTGACTTTCAATATTTCTACAGTGTCATTTCGGGCTCTTTGTCACATGGTGAACCTAGTCATGGATTGGCTGATAGAGTCATTAACTGCAGAGAAGTTCTGGAAGCTTTCAACCTGCTGGTGCTCCAGGTTAGCTCATTGCCATACACACTACAGACCCAACAGTCTCGTATCAGCTCCAGCAATGAGGTTCACTGGATACAGCTGGACAACTTGGTGAGTCTCTATTCTGCTCTCTTATACACAGTCATTATTCTCAGTTCCCCCGGGAGCAGAATCTTGTAATAAAATATGGTCATGGCTTTGTAAAATACCGTAAGAGTTCAAAACTCTAACTAAAATAAAGCTTTATCTCCTAAAAGTTCCATGTAATTACAATTATTATAAGACTAAAAACTAATGAGTGTGTCCAAAATAAATCTAATTATATTGTTCTTTTTAAGGTTATCATACAGATACAAAATTGTCCATCCTATATAGTACCCCCCCCCTCCAAAATGTGATGTTATTTTATACAGTCACCAATAGCCTGGACTATCTTTGTGCTTTTAAACAATTAATTTCAATCTGAGACTTAGAAATTTATTATCCTTTTGAAGTCTTATTGATCTGTATGACTATAAATTATGCTCATGTTCCCCCAGCAACTGTATTTTTTTCTTTTAATCAGTTCTCAGTCTTCTAGTTAAAACATTAGATTATGATACTGTTACTTTAAATTACTCAATAGCACTTAATATGTTGAGCACCATCTCAAGGTTGTACATATTCAAGACTCTATATTTTTTTTGGCTTCAGTCCCTAAAACCTGGAAAATATTTTCTATGACCTATACAATGCATGACAAACATACTACCAAAAAAAAGAAATAAGTGTTTCATAAAAACAAAGAAGATTAGCCATTAAGCAATGGATCCTTTGTTTAAAAAATATTAAACATGGTGGGAACGCCTGGGTGGCTCAATCAGTTGAGCGTCTGACCCTTGGTTTCTGCTTGGATCATGGTCTCATGGTTCATGGGTTTGAGTCCCACACTGGGCTCTGTGCTGACAATGCAGAGCCTGCTAGGGATTCTTTCTCTCTCCCTCTCTCTCTACCCCTCCCTTACTTGTGCACTCTTTCTATCTCAAAATAAATAAACTTAAAAAAAATTTAAAAATGAAAAAATGTTAAACATAATGGATATTTTAAAATAAGCATGTTTAAGTAAAAGATGCCAGATATGTCTTAAGTAAGAATAACATTTATTCAGGGGTGCCTGAGTAGCTCAGTCGGTTGAGCATCTGACTTTGGCTCAGGTCATGATCTTGCAGTTTGTGGGTTTGAGCCCCACATTGGGCTTGCTGCTATCAGCACAGACCCAGCTTCAGATCCTCTGTCCCCCACCCCCCCTTCTGCCCTCCCCCACTCATGCTTGCTCTCAAAACACACACACACACACACACACACACACACACACACATAAAAAAATCATCCCTGTGAGGTGCCTGGGTGGCTCAGTCAGTTGAGCATCAGACTCTTGATTTCAGCTCATGTCATGATACCAGCGTCATGAGATGGAGCCCCATGTCAGGCTCTGTTCTGAGTGTGGAGTCTGCTTGGGATTCTCTCCCTCTCTCCCTTTGCCCCTCTCTACTGCTTGCATTCTCTGTCTCTAAAATTAAAAAAAAATTTTTTTAAATCATCACTGTGAAATTGAGATCAACATAGAAAAAAGATAAAAACTTCAAACTTGAATCTAATTTACACCCTTACACCCTCACCCTTACACATTAGGGAAGAAGCTCCTAACCATTAGCCTCCTTTCATTATCCTGAAACCAACGTCCTCAAAAAGGAAAAATTGGAAAAAGCAGGGTAATTCAATTAAAAAAATACTAAGCACTTGTTGGGCTTGTGTTAGATCTTTCCAAGAACACAAAGAGAACTGACCATTTAAAGGTAAAAGCAAAGTACATATCAAAGTCACTGTTATCCAAAGTAGAATAAGATATACATAGAGAAAAGAGATCAGTGATTGCCAGAGGCAGGGGTGGGGTGGATGAAATAGGTGAATGGGATCAAAAGATACAAATGTTCAGTTATAAAATAAGTTAATCCTCAAAAAATTAAAAATAGAACTACCCTATGATCCAACAGTAGCACTACTAGGAATTTACCCAAGGGGTAAAGGAGTGCTGATGCATAGGGGCACTTGTACCCCAATGTTTATAGCAGCACTTTCAACAATAGCCAAATTATGGAAAGAGCCTAAATGTCCATCAACTGATGAATGGATAAAGATGTAGTGTATATATATACAATGGAATACTACTTGGCAATGAGAAAGAATAAAATCCTGCCATTTGCAGCAACATGGATGGAACTAGAAGGTATGATGCTGAGTGAAATATGTCAGTCAGAGAAGGACAGATATCATATGTTGTCACTCATATGTGGATCTTGAGAAACTTAACAGAAGACCACGGGGGAAGGGAAGGGGAAAAAATAGTTACAGAGAGGGAGGGAGGCAAACCACAAGAGACTCTTAAATACAGAGAACAGACTGAGAGGGATTGGGAGGATGGGGGAGAGGGGAAAAATGGGTGATGGGCATTGAGGAGGGTGCTTGTTGGGATGAGCACTGGGTGTTGTATGTAAGCCAATTTGACAGTAAATTATATAAAAATAATAACAAGTAAGTCCTGGGGATGTAATGTACAGCATGATGGCTATAGTTAATACTGTATGGTATATTTGAAAGTTGCTAAGAGAGTAGGCCTTAGAAGATCACATCACCAGAGAAAAAGAATTATAACTATATGCGCTGATGGATGTTAACTGGACTTCCTGTGGTGATCATTTTGCAATATTATTATGTATATTGCACACATATATAGGCATATCTTGTTTTGTTGTGCTTTGCTTTAGTGTACTTTGCAGATATTTCATTTTTACAAATGAAGATTTGTGGCAATCCTGTATCAAGGAAGTCTATTGGTGCCATTTTTTCAAACAGCATTTACTCACTTTGGGTCTCTATGTCACATTTTGGTAATTCTCACAATATTTAAAATTTTTTCATTATTATTGTATTTGTTATGCTGATCTATAATCACTGATCTTTGATGTTACTATATTGTAATTGTTTTGCGGTGCCACAAACCACACCTATGTAAGAACGTGGACTTAATCGATAAAAGTGTGTGTGTGTTCTAACTGCTCCACCAACTGGCCATTCCCCTCTCTCTCCCTCTCCTTAGGCCTCCCTATTTCTGGATACACACCAATATTGAAATTTGGCCAATCAATAACCCTACAATGGCCACTAAGTGTTCAAGTGATGGGAAGAGTTGCACATCTCTCACTTTAAATCAAAAGCTAGACATGATTAAGCTTAGTGAGGAAGACAAGTCAAAAGCTGAGACAGGCTGAAAGCTAGGCCTCTTGCTCCAAACAGCCATGTTATGAATATAAAAGAAAAGTTCCTGAAGGAAATTAAAAGGCACCTGGCAGGCTTAGTCAGTTAAGCATCCGACTCTTGATTTCAGCTCAGGTCACAATCTCAGGGTTGTGAGATCGAGCCCTGCATTGGGCTCTGTGCTGGACATGGAGACTGCTTAAGATTCTCTTTCCCTCTCCCTCTGCCCCTCCCCAACACTCGCTCTTGCTCTCTCTCTCTCTCTCTCAAAAAAAGTGCTAACCCAGTGAACACATGAATAATAAGAAAGTAAAACACCTTATTGCTGATATGGAGAAGATCTGAATGATCTAGATAGAAGATCCTATCAGCCACCACGTTCCCTTAAGCCAAAGCCTAATCCAGACCAAGGCCCTAACTGTCTTCAATTCTGGGAAGACTGAGAGAGGTAAGGAAGCTGCAGAAGAAAGATTGGAAACTACCAGAGGTTAGATCATAAAGCTTAAGAAAGCTTATGCCTTCTGCATAACATTAAAGTGCAGCAAGTGCTGGTATAGAAGCTGCAGCAAGTTATCCAAAAGACCTAGATTATTAATGAAGGTGGCTACATGAAACAAATTTTCAATGTAGATGGAACAGCCATCTATTGGAAGAAGACGCCTTCTAGGTCTTTCATAGCTAGAGAGAATCAATGACTGCCTTCAAAGCTCCAAAGGACAATCTGACTGTCTTGTTAGGGGCTACTGCAGCTGGTGACTTTAAGTTGAAGCCAATGCTCATTGAGCATTCTGAAAATCCTAGGGCCCTGAAGAATTATGCTAAATCTACTCTTGTCTGTGTTCTCTAAATGTAACAACAAAGCCTGGTTGACAGCACATCTGTTTACAACATGGTTGACTGAATATTTTAAGCCCACTGATGAGACCTACTGCCCAGAAAAAAAAGATTCCTTTCAATATATTACTGCTCATTGACAATGTATATGCTAACCTAAGAGCTCTGATGGAGATGTACAATAAGATGAATGTGGTTTTCATGACTACTAACACAACATCCATTATGCAGCACATGGGTCAAGGAGTAACTTCTTATGATTTAGGAAAATACATTTCATTAGGCTGTGGCTGCCATAGACAGTGATTCCTCTGATGGAAATGGACAAAGTTAGTTGAAAACATTCTGGAAAGGATTCACCATTCTAGGTGATTAAGAACATTCATGATTCATGGGAAGAGGTCAAAATATCAGCATTACCAGGAGTTTGGAAGAAGTTGATTACAACCCCCGTGGATGACTTTGAGGGGTTCAAGACTTCAGTGGAGGAAGTCACTGCAGATGTGGTGGAAATAGCAAGAGAACTAAAATTAAAAGTAGAACCTGAAGATGAGACCGAATTGTTGCAATCTCATGATAAAAATTGAATGGATGAGGAGTTGCTTCTGATGGGTGAACAAAGAAAGTGGTGTCTTGAGAAGGAAACTATTCCTGGTGAAGATGCTGTGGAGATTGTTGAAATGACAACAAAGGATTTAGAATATTACATGAACTTAGTTGATAAAGCAGTGGCAGGGTTTGAGAGGATTGACTCCAATTTTGAAAGAAGTTCTACTGGGGGCAAAATGCTATCAAACAGCATCACTTGCTACAGAGAAGTCACTCATGAAAGGAAGAGTCATTCAATGTGGCAAGCTTCATTGTTGTCTTGTGTTAAGAAATTGTCACAGGCACCCCAGCCTTCTACAACCACCAACCAAATCAGTCAATAGCCATCAAAATCAAGGCAAGACCCTCCACCGGCAAAAAGATTATGATTTGCT